GCAGTTGGAGACACAGGTACCCGCAGAGGCGAGTTGATTGTTCTTGCAGGTCAAGCAAAAGTCGGCCTTGTTGATACAGGTGCCACAGGAAGAAGCGCAAGCTGTAAAATTGTCAGGAAACGAGTCTAAATGGGAAATTTTGATACTGACCAGAGCAAGTACCATCGCTATTGGCAAAGGTTCCGTCGGGGCAATTGTCGATACATTGGCCATTGCTCAAGACCTTGCCAGGAGTACACTTGGTGCACTTGACATCCGAGAACTGACTGGAAGAGCTAAACACGTCGTATGAACAGGACGAGCACCCAAGCGGGCAAGTGTCGCAGACACCCTTGAGAGGATTGGCGATGAGCGAAGATCCAGAGCAGACACCAGAGGCGGGGACGGTGGCGATTCCGACACATTGGCCGTTGAGGAAAAAGGTGTTGGCGGCACAAGAGACACAATCCGTAGCTGAAGGTCCATTACAGGTCGCGCAGGCTGCGTTACATTGAGCACAAGAAGTGCCCGAGGGGAATTGACCAGGTCGGCACTGCTGGGAAGCGACACCACAAGTTTGGGGTTGAAGATTGCTGACGGTGAGACCAGAGTTGCACTGGTTGCAGGCACCAGTCGTGTCGTCGCACCTACCGCATCCAGATCCACACTTTTCACAATTGCCAGAAGAATTGCGGAAAAATCCGTCAGCACAAGTGGCGCATTGGGTTGAATTGCCACCAGATGTAGCAGTCGTGAAACCAGGCGAGCAAGTGCAAGTGGAGCCGTTGCAAACACCATTGGCGCAGTTGCAGTTGGATGGAGCATTGGAGGGGACGGCCACGCTGAGACATTCTCCGGTACCTGTGATGCCGTCGTCGCATCGTTTGCAAGTAGGATCACATTCTGTAAGAGAAAAGCGGCGCACACGTCAGTATGAGCGACGAAGCAGAACCACGATGACGTCGCTGCGGAGAAACGACGAGACCGAGGAGAGAGGAAGAAAAATACTCACGTTTACAGTCAGGACCGTAGCGGCCAGCAGCGCAAGATTCGCAGCTTTCGCCGGTGAATCCGTCGCGGCATTGGCACGTTCCGGCGCTGGTACAGATGGCTTTAGCCGAGCAAGCAGGAGTGCATAGAGAGGATTGCAAAGAGACCAAAGTTAAATCGCCAGCCATAGAGTAGGGTAATTGGGAGAGATAGGGTACATTGTCCCATAGGACGACGCGAGTCTTGCTACCACGATTATCGGCTTCGATTGCGGCTACAGTATTTGCGGCGAGGATGATTGAGCCACGGCTAATTCCAGTCGAAGAAAAGGTCGAGTTGACATTTGTTGGAGTATTATAAAACTTGGGATCGCCCGTGTAGAGGTCAGCAGGGTAGTTGAGGAGGCCCGGTTGGAGCTGCACGTTGAGGGGGAGAGAGGGGGTCGTAGAAGTCGTAGAATTTGAAAAACCAGTTGTAAATGTTACAGTCGATGTTGCAGAGCCCAGAGCTTGCTGGAGAGAAGCGGGCTGGATGCTGGACGTGTACTGTCCAGGGAGGAGAATGTAGGAAGATGACGAGGATGACAACACCGCGCCCACTATATAGACAAATGATTAGCATACGAGATACACAAGAGTCGTTGGAGGTGACTGACGTCGTGTAATGTTGGACTGGCCTTCGAGGCATTGGCCTGCGTCTGCGCTGCAGACAGTGATGGTTTGGGCGCCCAGGACCGCTAGAGAAGGAAAAGAAAAGGCACTGAGCACGATATCGAGAACGGTGATGATGAATTCGACATACCTGGAACGGCAGCAGCCGCGAGAAAGAGGGAGGAAAAGAGGCTTATCATATCAGATGTGGGGGTTCAGGAGACGTGAGGGGTTCGTTGAGATTGTCGTCGTCGCAGAGCACGAAGCTCTGTGCTGGGGGTTGGGCGCAGAAAAAAAGGAAAGAGGAAATAAAAAGGGAAAACGGGTCGGGGGGTAGAGATGAAGGTTAAGGGGAGGAAGGTGGCGGCGAGAATCAGAGGTCCACACGGGACAATGGAGCGTCCGGCGCCTCGCCTAATGGGGCACTTGATTATGTAAGCCACGCTCCATATTTGGAAGAACAAGTGCGATCTCCCTTTGTGCGCCTACTCTCCAATGTCTCCAAGCAACCCCAGCTACAATCGCAATTCTTACTGCAGGGTTTACTTTTTTAAAGGCTGTGGTGGCTACAACTCTAGACAAGGTCTCTCTCGTCTCCCCCAACTGTTCCAAGTGCCACTCGAAGAACGATGGGCTAGCTAGCGTATGCGACGCCCTAGCCCTTGCTACTGCTCAGATCCGGATCATATGTTCGCAGTTCATCTCACTAAGACTCCCATGCCGATCACACGATGTCCATTCGGGAATTTCACTGCTCACTCGCACGCATTTTCCATGAAACAGATTCAAAAGTGCCG